TTGAAATTCAGGATGCCAGAGTGAAGACGCCTTTTGTATGATGACGTCATCGTCCTGCAGTAAAAAGCGTTCGTTTTTTACCACGATATTACGTCAATCGGTACATTTATGTTGTCGAAAGGTCCGTGAGTATGGTAAATGATTTTACATTAAACTGCAGCCACATCTTCAATCACTCGTTATTGTTCGCGATATCGGATAAACACTCTGGTCGCTAACTGAATTTTCTTTACTGTTTACTTTATTTTGAATTAGGACTGTCTTGAGTTGTCCATGCATTGACTGGCGATTTTAAGCCTTTTCAAGGAACCAAAAATCCAGAATTGTTCCTATAGGGTGAGGCATTTGCGCACAGTTTTAAAGCCCTTCGGTGGGGTGACTGTGGTTTTTGTAGTCCTGGCCCGGGTTGCTCGAAGCACGGTTGGTGCTAACCAGCGTTACATACCATGGAAACCTATACATTTTGATACCTCTTAACCAACGATTAGCGCTCACCCCTCATTTTTCTTAACCCCTTCCAAACCAATTTTACTTTTTATCAAAAAACCCTTTATGGAAAGACAAAGAATCTCCTCAAAACGGGCTTCGTGACTGAGACAAAACACCTGAAAATTCTGCACGGAACCGTTGTTAATGGTGTACAAGGTAGAATGAGTATTATTACTTTGCCAACGCCCAGCGCCCAACGCCCAGCGCCCAACGCCCGGAAGTCATTATGTTTATTTCAATGGCTCATGTCTCATGAGTTTTGAGTAAACGCTGTAAATACATGTAACTGGAACTATCATCGCATCCTCGCTTACTAATAATGATAACTTATATCAACTCCCATTATTTATTGCCTAGCCTGCGTGGCAGGCTATTTATTGCCTAGCTAAGATTTTCACGGATTCTTCAGTTCAGTTGTTTGAAACCAGGCGGTTTCACGTGAGTTGTAACGCCATGCAAGGAACGTGACGACCGGCGATATGCATGGGAAAATATTACTGTTTTTCGATCAAGGTGGAAACTGGCACCTTTGTCGTCGAGTAAGGTAATACATCTCAGTTTTTCATTACTATGGTTAACTTTAAAAGCTCTGGTTTCGATAAAGAAACTGGAGGAATCGAAAATCAGGAAAATTCCAGTTCCCGACTGTGATGGTTGCATTTTGTTTACGCGTCGTAGCATAAACATAACAAATTCATTTTCCTTTTCCTTATACAATCCAGGGGGTTCATTAAGGTTTTGAACAGGAGGGCAACTGAGTTTGACACCCGGGCAAAGAATTGGCAAGGCCCTCCGGGGGGTCCGGGGGCATGCTCCCCCGGAAAATTTTGAAAGTCTATAGTCGTAAGGATGTGTTTTCCTGCATTTTGAAGCTGCAGACAATGACTTTCAACAACCAAAAAAAGATAACTTTTCTAAACAATTTAATCATGATTTGATACCAATACCCACCACACAAATTGGACTTTTTGGTTCTCTTTTAATAGCTCTGCTCATAATAATCTTTACTCAAACTCACCGTCAGCATCTGATCCGTAATCAACTTATCTTTAAAATTTCAATGACTAGACGGGAGGAGCACTGTTTTAACGTGAACGCACCGAAAATTAATTCATTGGCGTAAACCATAAGACGAATAAAAATCACGCTTCGCTTCGTTGAACATGATGATTAAGCCATTCAATATATACAGGCAAGTAAAAGGTTAAATCACAAAGAAGTCTACTCATCTCTTGGTCTTTTCTCTACTGGAGGCCCTTTGGTTAAGGCCGCGAAAAATAATACGCTATCGAACGCGTTCTTTTCTGGGCCGCCATGCTCACGTGCTCGCAACACTGATACATTTCAGGTGGTCGTTTATGAGGCACAGATCTTTTCGCAATGTGTTATGGGGCGATTCTTGTTTTTAACACAGAAAGAACGAGGGGATTTCATGCCGCGTGTAATAAAGTGGAAATTGCAAGGCAAAGTATGTTTTACACTCGATAAGACTCATCAAGAAATGGGCACGATTGTAACTTAAAACTGTTTTTGATCGTTCCTTGTATTAAAAAGAAGTTCTTTGAGATGTAAAGCAGCCGGGCAAAGTCGTGTTCACAGCCGGTCAATTTGCCCGGTGCCCGGCCCTTAATGAACCCCCTGACAATCTACCTTTTTTAATACTGTTTTTCGCAGCAGAGTTATCGATTGTATTACAGAGGCTAATTTTATTACACAGATCACTCAGATTTAAGGACAGAAACTCTATTATCGATTGTAATTTTGGCAACACCTGGCGAGTATTCGGTGTAAAGATTGACATGTCGACAAAGTGGATGAGGACAAAACATGGACCAGGGGTCCATGGACCCCCACTTTGGACCGGGTCCATGGACCACTTTCATGGACCGGGTCCATGGACCCCCTGTCATGGACGGGTCCATGGACAGTTTTTTTTAATAATGAGAAATGAACAAAAACAGAAATAGTGCAAAAATAAGGTTAAAAAACAATAACAACAACAAACAATGCTTGATTGATCAGTAATGTTTAATTGTGCTTACATAGTGTAAAAAAAGGGGGGGTCGGTACCTCATGCCAAAATGCTGCTTGTTCCAATGAATTGTTTTCTCTGATGGGTAGATTATGCGTCGGAGGAAAACCTTTTGAATGAGCAATTGTGAATTTTTGTCGCTTATTTCATACTGAGACGTCGTGACACATATTGATTTTCTACCTCTTTTAAAATGTAAAGCTGTTCATTGCGGCTGATTAAAAGGGTTTTAGGTTGTTTAATTTCTCCAAAGTGCATCCTGGATCTGAATAATTCTAAGCCACTTTGTTTTTGTCCATGAATGTCACTTTTTCCTGCAATGTTTTGTCACGCTGGGCCCAGCCCCTTAGCGCTTTTAGCAGGACGATTATAAATTCTCACGGATAGTGATTTACAGATCCAGATCTCGAAGAAGAAGAAGTGGCATGGATTGTAGCTTAAACTGAAGCTACATCAACTATGGAGAATTGCGATGTGACTCAGTCATGATTGTTCTAAAAGCAATGAATTCTTAACTCCAGCTTGTTTTTGTAAGGGTGATGCGAGTCTTCGTACTGGAGCGCGTAATTCCTCTCTTGGTGATAACGGCTTATTCTATTTTGCGAAACGAAACGAAACGAAACAAAATATATGGGAGAGGGAGAAAAAATGCTTATTAGCCTAAACACAACTTAAGACAACGTTGACAATGTGTTTGGAAGTAATAGTTAACGAAAAATGACGGATTTTTACCTTTTTCGCAAAGTAGTAATTTCAATACAATTACTATTTTGCGAAATGGCGTTTTTCAGCTTTATTCAGCAAATATGTCCTTTTCGTCTGAAACAAATTGTGTCCACCAATAAAATGATTAATATTTCGAAGAGTCTGGTGACTTCTCATTTTATTGACCGTGCTAGAACTCATTTCACAAAGTAGTAATTTTGCCAGAATTACTATTTTGCCAAATGGCGTTTTTTACCTTTTTTCCCCTATATTTGGCAAATATGTCCTTCTCGTCCGAAAAAAATTGTATCCACCAACAAATTGATTAATATTTTAAGGAGTCTGGGCACCTCTCATTTTATTGGCCCTACTAGAACTCCTTTCGCAAAGCAGTAATTTTGCCAGAATTACTATTTTGCGAAATTTTGCAATTTGTTGGTGGATACAATTTTTTTCGGACGAGAAGGACATATTTGCTAAATAAAGCTGAAAAACGCCATTTCGCCAAATAGTAATTGTATTGAAATTACTACTTTGCGAAAAAGGTAAAAATCCGTCATTTTTCGTTAACTATTACTTCCAAACACATTGTCAACGTTGTCTTAAGTTGTGTTTAGGTTAATAAGCATTTTTTCTCCTTCTCCCATATATTTCGTTTCGTTTCGCAAAATAGAATAATCCCTTTTGAATTAGCTTAATTTAGCAGTCTTGCGACTGCACATGTGCAAGCAGAGTGTACGTCATGTAAGCACAACTAAATATTTGTGATCAATCGTGAGCATTGGTCGACAGTGTCTCGTCAAATCTTTTTTGAGTGTCCATGGACCTGGTACAAAACCTTCTTATAAAGATAAAAAAAAATGTCCATGGACCTGGTCAATAACAGGGGGTCTATGGACCCGGTCCATGAAACTGGTCCATAGACCCGGTCCAGAGAGGGGGTCCATGGACCCCTGGTCCATGTTTTGTCCTCACCCCGACAAAGTCGCTATAACACTCTTCCATTCATTACTTTTTTTATTTTGTTTCTGCTCCGTTAAATCTGCCCAATTTTCTTATTAACGAACTCGATTTAACCACAAACAATGAGTATTCAGGCAGAGTGGCAAGCTTCAATGCGATGTGGCAAAAGAGATATACGCCTTTAAAATTCTGTTAATTTTGCGGGTGTCAAAAATTCAAAAAGTATACCCACCAAAAGTATAATCGATCGTTGCGAAAACGTTATCAATTTCGAAGTAGTTTCTAAAAATACAATAAAGAGGGATTGTTCTTTCAATGTGTATCGGCAAAGGAAGATTAGCTTTGATGACAGGGTTGTAGTCGAAGGCTCAAAAGCAGCTTCAATTAACCAATATGGCGCCGGTCCGAGGCACCCAAAAACCGGCCATGTCGACAATTTCCGAAATAGGAGGAATTAGAACCTAAAGTTACCTATTCCTTATTAAAGACCCCAAATCAAGTCTACTTGCAAATTTTTAGCCAATTCGGTGAGATAGTGTGGCAGCGACTTTTCAATATAGCTCGAATCTTACAGACAACTGCTCTTAATAAACTGAAAATACGGAGCAAATATTTAATTGTTTGCTGACAAGGTGCATGTAGCAGTCATATAAGGAGGACAGATATATTAAAAAAGAGTTCAGTTGACTGAAGCCGCATCGCAGAAAAGTCATGGAAATGAAAAATTTTACTGGAGGTGAAAACCCGCAAACAATTGCAGAACTTTACTGCTCTGAGGAATTTACTTTGAGAGGTACATGGCGAGCTCGTTTTTCTCTCTGTCATTAACACTTTTTTGTCCATTACAGCATTTTTGGGGAATTCTCTGATCCTAGTTGCCCTTCGCAAGGACACATCAATTCATCCGCCATCCAAACTCCTGTATCGTAACCTTGCGATAACCGATCTTTGTGTTGGTATCATTGCGGAGCCTCTACTGGTTGCATATTGGATATCTGTGGTGAACAGAAGACGGGTCATTTGCTATTACACAATTTGGACAGCATCTTTCGCAGGTGCTACTTTGTGTTCAGTGTCGTTGATAACACTGACTGCAATAAGCGTGGACAGACTTCTCGCTTTGCTACTGGGTCTCAGATACAGACAAGTTGTAACTTTGAAAAGAACACGTTTAGTTGCTATTGGTGGTTGGATTGTGTCTGTTGTCGGTACATCTACATTATTTCTGAATCTTCTTATTTTTTCATTGTACCAATATATTGTTATAGCTTTTTGTTTAGTCACTACAATCTTTGCCTACACAAAAATCTTCATGTCTCTGCGTCATAACCAAATTCATGTTCAGAACCATGTCGTTCAAGGACAATCGAGCCAAGTAAATACACTGAATATAGCTCGATACAGAAAGGCAGTGTACAGTGCACTGTGGGTGCAGGTAACATTGGTTATTTGTTATCTGGCGTACGGTATAGCTGGAGCTGTAAAACCTCAAAGGGGGATGCCTTTATCTACTTACCTTGCCAGGGTATTTACAGTTACTTTAGTGTATTTGAACTCGTCGTTAAACCCCTTGCTGTACTGCTGGAAGATCACAGAAGTGAGACAAGCTGTAAAAGAAACATTACAACAACTACACTTCTGTACCTGAACTAAGACTTTCGGCTAAGAACATTTACTAACGAACTTGATAAGAAAATATGTATAAGAAAACCAGACTAATGTCCTAGTCCGAATTGCACCTTTAAGATTGTTTTCTGTTTCATTGCAGATTGTAAAGACACAAACAAAATCATTTGTTTATGTTAAAAAGTTTAATAATCATAAAACAAAATGAAAATATCACTAAAACTAGTCAGTTAGCTAATTAGTTCTCTAGCAATGAAGACTACGAGGTAGGGACATATTCTTAAAGAGAACAGCTCACTTGCTCGCAACATCACACCGACAAACTCTTTTGACTAATGTTTTTTAAAGCCAGAAGACAATCAGAAGTTATCAGAGAGCTTTACTGTTCTGCGGAAGTTGCTGGAGAGGTACATGGCGAAGTTATCTTGAAAATACACTGCATAAATAACAGCTGTTGATAACCATAAAAGGCACTATGTTCATAGTATAATCAAGTTTAACAAACGTCAGAAGTTCAGTTTGGTAAAACTAATTCAGGGCGCAAAAATATTACTTTTCCGAAGGCTTTTTCAAAATCGAACAATATTTATTGTGGGATAATGAGGGCCGGTACATGATGTAAGTTAAATTTGATGGCCAATAAATACACATTAACATTGTTCTGTTGCCTAACACAGGTCATTTTAATAAAAGCTTGCGAGCATACGAAGGCTTTTGTTTTAGATATAATGAAAAGTGAACTATTATACTTCTGGTTTGCATGTGACGTCACACAGCGGCATCTAGGTCGTCAAGAACAAAAGCATGTCTCTTCCCTGGGAAGTATATCCTCTATTTTTATGTAAGCTCTTCGAGAAAACAATTCTTTTTTACCGGCCCCCAACATGGTCGCCTTGTCACGTGGTTGCAAACTAAGAATACCCGCATGGTAACGTGATATCAATGGAAAAGGGGCTATCACCAGTCCCCCTCGGGGGATTGCTCAGATGACTAACTGTTACCTACTGCTGTTATTTGCCATCGTATCAATTGTTTTATCCAAAATAAAGTCTGCTGTGCGGTCGAATTATAGCAGGAATTAGTAGCAAAAGCGAAGTACTTTCTCAGCTAAGAGCTAAAGAAGACTCATATACAGTGCTTAAAGGATTGAACATCACCATATGGCCCTAGGGCACGAAACCCCTTCTTTTACAGTAAGTCAGTAGTGGTCCCTAGAAGTATTTCAACGAGTCACAATTTTAATGATGTCAAGTGATTTCTGCACCGTTCTTTGAAGTTTAATAGTCGGTTGCAGGCAATTAACTTCAAGAGGGCATTCCGGTTTCTTGACGGTAATTGCCTCAGACAAAACTTGATTTACCAAGCGACTGTAACGGCTGGAACAACAACAGAATCATACATTGGACTCAGTAGCCACTAACTTCAAAGAACAGTACAGAAATCACTTGACATCCTTCCGACACGCAAACAGAAGAAACGAGACGGAACTGTTCAAACGGGTGTGGACTCTCAAAGATGCCTACAGATCCTTTCACGTGCAGGGGAAAGTACTCAGGAATTGTAAACCATATGACAAGGCTAGCAAAAAATGTAATCTGTGCCTCGAAGAAAAAATTTTTATCATTTGTGAAAAACACTTATGTACTCTGAACAAAAGAAACGAATTAGCAAGTTCATGCCCATACAGAAATAGATTCACTCTCAGAAATTTTAGAATAACGTAACGCAACGCAACGAAACCGCACGGATCCCGAAAAACCCATTGGGGAACCTCTATACCTCCGTGTCGACTTTGTGTCTATTTACAAACGTTTTAATCACTCTCCGTCTGCCTCTTTACCAGCCGCTCGCAATCGCATATTCAGAGACTTTTAAAATTGGCTTCCCAGTACAGAACGGACTTTAACTTCTCAAAGTTCCTTCCTCACTAGGCGTTGAATTTTGGAATAATTATTACTTTAATTTATTAAAACTGCTTTTCTGCTGAAGATAATAGAAGTAAGACAAGCTGCGAAACACGCACTTAGGCAACGTCTTCTGTTTATCGACTTAGCTAACGTTTCAGAAATGTGCATTGCATCCCTGACCGACAAGCCTGTAGCAAAAAAAATTCCAGACATCGTCGTCATTGTGATATTAGATTTCAAATATGTCCCTACGTTCTCTCCTTCTATCAGCAGAAAGGAGAAATCTAGACTCTTCATCGGCCCCGGTTGTTCAAAAGGTAGATAGAGCTATTATTAGTTATCCACTGAATACTCTATATCAAGTGGATAACGCAATTGCTTGGATTAACACGTGATTCACTGGCGAGAGATAATGGATAGCTCTCCCCACTAAACTTGTCAACGACTGGGGCCAGTCTACAAAAGCACTTGTTCTAAGATGATTAAAAATTTCCCTCGTTATAACACGAACCACCCCGTTGATAATTTATGTGAGTACGTACTGGGACAAGAGCCTGCTTTTTGAATAACGAAATTCCCCAGTTTTGCTGACGTATTATCCACTTTCTACGAAAGATTATCACTCCTTCGATGAATTGGGGCGGTTCATCAAAGGACAGCTTTCAAGGGTTCAAAATAACTCGTATTGATCAGAGTATCGCGATCAAGAGATCAAGAACTTTAACTATTCTCCTGCATCAATGATAAATATTGTAGAAGAATACATCCACCTGGATTTGAACCGAGTTGAAATTCTAAGACAGATCCACCAAGTTTCACAAGTTTACGCTCGTCGACTGACAACACTGAGCTCAGAGGTGACAAACTGAACAGTTTGAATAGGTAGGTTAAAGATTGTTTAGAAATCGACTGTAAGCTTTCGTGCACTCCTTAAACTTTAAGATTCATTCATTCATTCATTTTTGCCATTAACCACATATAAATACAACAATATACAAGAAATTTATAATACATTAAAGATAATATACACTATTCTAACGAAATTATTTACAAAATTAAATTTTTAAAGTGGTAATGGCAAGGAAGCCTAAATAGAAGCCGGGAGCTTATACACCATATGCTTCCTGCAACTATGGGGTAAACCATGGGGGTTTAAGGGTGCTGAATGAAAAATGGACTAATTTTTAAAAGAAAAGGTATGTAGCTCAAATAAATATATTTTACTGAGAAAAAAGGCCTAAAAACGGAGCTCTAATGGAAAAAGCAGCAAACGCCAACCGTAACATTTTCCTGCTAATTCCAGTTGAGTTCCCCTTTTTCTGAGATCGTCTGGATCGTGGCGTCAAAACTTCCTAGAAATACGATGGTTGTATCCAACATGTTAAAGCCTCGTTATCAAGGGGAAGACATGTCTCGGTAAAAAAGGATCACCCGCTCATCTGAGCTACCTTGGGCGAGCCAACTTTTTACACATTTCATTACAAAACGTAGTGTACCGTTAACATGAGAAATAGAAACTTGGCTTGGCTAAAAGGATGACCCGCCTTGCCGGATCACTCTTTTAGGGTGGTAGGGTCACCCTCCTAGCCGGGTCAACTTTTCTCCATACAGCAATTTTGAGAAAGGTTGTCGGAAAAAGTACACGCGACGATCCCGAAAGGTATATTGTGGGTGGTTTTGAGTTCACTGTTGTTCAAAAAAATTTGGAAGAATGGCACGAGAGGCTATAGATGTATATTTGCTAATGCTTATATTTAAGGGAAACACCAATGGAAGATTCGACAGCTACAGGGTCAAGAACAGCGTATTGATCATATCCCAAATTACCGTTCGGGATTGTCGCGAGCACATTTTTCTGTTAACCTTTCTCGAAATAGCTGTATTGACAGGTTGGCTCGCCCAGCTGGGTCGACTCTGTCAAGGCGAGAAAATCATGCAGAGCATGCGTGAAAACTTTATCCTCATATAAACGCTAGCTGAAGTTGACTGGACTGGGACTGTGACCCTCTCCTTCACATACCGTAAAACGGGGTCTAAGTAACCCCAAATTCAATTGTTGGAAATGTAGTACCACAACACTATTCACTCACTTCAGATTAAAAGTCACAGTAAAAAAGTCACACCCGTAACCGTCCCGAAAGCTGCTCTAGTCTCAAGTGAAGCGAAGAATCTATATATTGAATACATATACTGTTGAAAAATCTAAAGTTACCAATCATTTTGATTGACGTCTTTGGTACTTGATTATCTCCAAAATAGCTAAATGATCGATATGATA